GGATTGAGGATTGAGGATTGAGGATTGAGGATTGAGGATTGAGGATTGAGGATTGAGGATTGATTCTGAGACAACCTCAAAGCAGGGTTAGTGACTCAATGTCTGAGCCCTGAGGAATGGTTCCTCAGGGCTTAAATACTGTGCGAGGTTCCCTAATTGACCTGATAGGCCCGGCCTGATCTCGTAGAGGATGGCCCCAGTGAGTCTCCAGCATGTGTGGAATGCGCATTGGTAATTGGTGGAGCTAATGTGGCAGTGCTGGAGCTCGTCGGGGTGTAACATCTAGAGCTGAAATTTTGTAGTAGAATGAGTTTATTTAATTAATTGGCGAAAAATATATTTTTAAAAAAGCATCAAAAGTGACCTGAACTAGTACTTCTTTACGCATCAGGGTATTTTCACTGCACCAGTCTCAGTGAAGTACACTGTCCAAGTGTAAAAAAAACTAAAATATTGTGAGCCCACAACCTTGCAATTACAAATCCTAAGCCCTAACCACTACTCTGTACTGTTGCCTCCTCATTACTGTCACAATTAAGGCATTCAGAGCTCAACTGGAAGATAAAACTGTCCCTGTGGTTGTTAGGGGTTACAGATACGTGTAGTGCTGCACTGAATATTTTGTTCCCTCTCTCTTCAACGGAAAGATAAAAAACAGATATTTCACCCAACGAAACAATTCTTTCTTTTATCTTAAGGAAAAGTGCAGAGAAAGAACTACTTTTTTTCTAACCTCTTACTTCATAGTCTGGCTTAAACTGTAGCTTGAAAATACTATCGCTTGCAAGAGACGCAAAACAATTCAAAATCTATCTTGAAAAAGAATCATACATTTGCAACTGTATCTTTTCCTCATCCACCATGAATTTTTCCACTATGAATTATTCCCCTATGCCAAAGAGCTATGCTTTAAAATGCCCTTCTCTGACAAACTGTAAAATTAAACATGAGTCTGGATTGGGAAGCAGAATTTATACTGAAGGGACTATACTTTACAACTAACTTTTTTGTTAAATATGCAGGAGCTGACCTTTCTAATCCATGTCCCCCCTCATGGGAAATGGCTGTGAAAGTCAGCAAGCAGTAATATTTGCCTTTGCGTGTATTATGTTTGAACAGCCCTTTGTAATCTTGATCTTGTTTTAGATAAAAAATAAAGCAGCATGCAGACTCAGCTCTGCATTAACACATGTCAAAGTTCAGGCACACAAAGAGTATCCTTGTCATTACCTGTAATGCAGTACAGCTAGCTAAAAAGTATGAACATGCTGTAAAACTAGTTGAGCCAGAGGTTATGAATGCAAGCAGTGCTTTTCAGAAGAAAAAATAATCTTCCTGGAAAAGGCTCTGGCTAACACACTAACAGTCATGCCATCTCCACTACAATTAGTGGAACACAGAAACACAAAAGTATGTACTCTATACAGTATCTTTGAAATTCCTGGCAAAAGAATGTTGTAGAGAAACACAGCAGTAAATTCCTAGAAAATTGTCAGTACTACCTCTTAAAACTAAAATTGTTACTTTTCTGAAAGCACATCTTAATAAACCTGCAACATATCGGTGCTAAGTTTTATTTGTCAATAAGCTGAATACTGATATACAGTATTAAGTAAATTTGTTTTCCATAATTTATAGCTGATCTTGAAAATTAACTATTTTTAAATGGTTACTGAGCACAGCATTCTAAAACCTTAAATATTAATACTAGCCACTTTATTTCCTTATTAATATTAACATTCCATGAAATTTGTTTATTTCAGGATATACTCTGTTCTCTATTTTAATAGAATTAAGAATTAATTGTAAAAATGATCTGGGGAAACCACAACTTTTCTTCTACAAAGGTTGGACTGTTTTCCTGAATGGTGTTACTCTTAGGACACTTAGGAATTTTTTTTTTAGTAGATTGAGTTTATTTTTTTTTCAAGGAAGACAAACAGTGACACCACTTAATCGCCAAATGAGAACCAGTGGTAAAATATGTGGAAGAGGTTAGAACAGTTGTAATTTCAATAAATTAATAAACATTTTACACTATGATTTAAATTTCATCCTGCTCAAAAGATTTTGTAATTCTTACTTTTCACTCAAAATGAGGTACTGTACAGTTATGCACACTAAATGCATGATTCATTACATTGTGAGCAATGCCATTTTCTCTTGTCCCATGCTGCTCCAATATTATCGCAGTTCTCAGTCTAAACTGGTCTTTTAATGTTTTGCAGGGGAGCTAGAGAAACAACAGGGGGCAAAGACTCATTCCTCCAAAAACAACGGAACACAGCTGGAGAGCCGAGGAAAGCAGAGCTCCCCGCCAGGTACTCCTTACACTACAGATTCCATGTAAAAACATGGAAAAATGCAAAAGAACTGCAAAATCTTATGAGGAGCCACCTATCCTATGTTAAATCCTTACAGGGCAACACTTTCCTGGGTACATTATAATGGTTGAACAGCTGAAATCTGTAATGATATTTTTGCAGTGCATCTGAAAAAGAAAAAGCAGCAGGGAAATACTGAAATTTTGAATCTATCAAATAATACTCCAAATACTACTGTTCAGTGTTCTTTATTTGCCCTGTTTCTAGACCAAATATTGTTTGAAGCGTAGTTATTGTTATTGTTAAAAATTAGAAAATGCTTTTAAATTTAAATGCATTTAAAATTAATAAATGTTTTAATAGTGGAGCAAGCAATTAAAGCAAGTTTCACTTTCTCATTGTTGATTGATTATTTACTTCTTGATCTTGATTACACACAGAAATCCACTCCTAAAGATCAGAGAGGAGCTTTGATTTAACTACAGACAGGTGCATGGAACAGATATCCTCAAAGCATTTAGTCTGAGTTAATCTCCATAAATTGCCACAAAGCATCCTGTCTTGTGCACATTCTGAGCCTGCTCTAATGTATTCTCCTGTAAGGCACATGTGACACTGGAGACCCAGATATTCTCAGATTTAATTGTGTTTTCTTTTGATTGCTTCTGTTTATATAATGTTTCTTATCTGATTTTTACAAGCATGAATGCAGCATTCTAAAAACATTGGTGGGAATACAAAACATCAGTTTAAACATCTAGTATTTAAGATGCAATTAATGAGAGCTCTAATAAAAATGTGATGGCTTTACATATCCAGTTATAGAATATTATGACATATGCAGAGGAATAATCTATGGTTACTGGAAAATATTAGACCATAAAACATACAGAATATTACACACAGTTAAACATACTATAAAACATATTATATAAACATATTATAAATGTGTTCTTTATAAGACTGGTAGGAATTAATATTTCTTATACCAACTGCCAGTAGTAAGGTTTAATTCAAAACAATTTAATTGAAGTACAGAAATACAGTACACAATACTCCTCTGGTACTTTTTGTTGGGCTGTTGTTTTCTGGAACAAATTTATGACAATGCTGACCTGCATTAAATTGCCCTTATCTTAATTCCAGAATGAAGCAGCCTATAGTCAGATATTAATGAAAGGTTTTGTTTACATTTACTTCTTTGTTCCAGCCCATCTGGTATTCCCATCAATTTATTTGGGTGCAATAGGCTATTAATCATTCTTTATATTAATAGCAAAACAATTTGGCAAAACAATATTTTGTGTTTAAAAACTCCATTACAGTTACAGAAGACTTTATGGTTCATTTTATCCAAGATTGTTACTTCAATGACTATTTAGTGATGGCTTGGCAGTTTTAAAATAGCACCAACATTCAAATTATGGCATTATTAGTGCAGACATCATTTTTCAGTGGAAATGTGTTTCCAATGAAGTGTGAATACTAAGACTTATAAGGATAAGGATTTACTTTAGTGCCCATGTACGATACACTATTGTTTTTTGTATAGTATTGAACCAAAAAAAAAAAGAAAGAAAAACATCAAAATTAAGCCAAACAGTAATTCAAAGCCTGACTAAACAGACAAGATTAGACTAGATTTAAAAAATATTAAAGAGTTAACATTTCTCAGATTAGCAGGGAGTGAGTTCCAGAGTTTTGGACAACCTGGTTGATAACTGCGTGTCCCCAATCGCTTGTACCTATAAGAACTACTAAAAGGTGTGCTTCAGCTCAAAATAAAGCCCTTCTTGGTATTACATAGGGAGTAATGAGAGATGCTTAATATTGTGAGGGATGTGGTGTGTAATGCTTTTAAAGTTAAGAATAAAAATCTGAACTGAATACACTGGGTAATGGGGAGCTAGAGAAGAATTTGTGTACTCACAGAGCCTTGAACGTATTAGAAGTTGAGCAGCTGCGTTTTGGACCATTTGAAGTTTGTTTAGGGAGCCGGTAAGGAGATCACTATAAAGGCTATTACCGTAATCCATCCTCGATGTGATGAATCAGGGTTTCTGCAGCAGTATTATCAAGGAAAGACTGAATGTGGGCAATCTTATGCTGAAGTCTGGTTCTATTCCTAAGGCTGCCATTTACAGTAGAATATACAATGGAACACTACCAGTTTTCAGAGTATTGTATGTTACTTGGCAAGTAAAAGAGAGGAAATTGTTTAAAGCATGTATTGCAGTATAGTAAAAATCAGTAAATATATATACAGTATACAGTAGTAACATATAGTAAAAATTCTTGAGATAGGCACAAACCTCTTTAAATTCTTAGAGTTTAGAGTTAAAAAAGACTTAATAGCTTACTATTCTTTGAACTAAGGCTCTCTTTGTGATTAAATTTGAGTTTTTATTGGGGAGATAATCAATACAAACATTAAAATTGCTTTATAAAATTTTACTGTAGACACAAGCTATACCATTGAGTTTGACTTTTTTATAGAAATACTAATACTATATACTGTATATATTATTGGTTTCTTCCTAGGCAAGCAGGATCTTGATGAAAAGACAGGGAACAACAAAGTTGAGGTACGTAGTCCTTAATATGGAGAACCCCAAATACAGGTAAGTTATTTTGTTTTGATTTGAAGGAGAGTTTAGTTAAGTAAGTTTATGAGAACAACCAGTACAAGTGTGCTTCTGAGTATGTTTATCTACAACAGTGCCTAAAATTCCTATGTATCACAGGTTACCCAGCACTGTACAGTGCTACGTGCTTGTACTGTATTTATGGTACAGAGTAATTGGTTTTATTTTTCATTGATGATGCTGTGGATGCTGTCATACACACAAGCACACATGCCCACATGGCAGATTTGAAGACACAGCAAGTCAACAAAGCAAAAAATGGTGTCAATTATCAATAACTTTTTTCAAGAATAACACTTGAATTGGATGTGAAAGCTTTATCTGAGACACAACAGAGGACTGGTTTGATGAAAAAAATGCAGTGAAGAGCAGAAGAACAAAAGAGGTAATAATATATAAAAGGTCATAAGAGTAAAAAGGGATACCAAGAGCTATAAAGACTGTAAAATATATATATTTAAAAAAAACATATACTGTATATACCTAATAATATTTGTGCTCCTTAATTGTGTGCTGGCTGTAGTGATTAAAAATAGTTTAATGGCATAAATGATGAGGTTATTTGTTTATTTTTCCATTTGTATTTATTTATAGAACTTGAATTCATCATTACAGTCATAAACATTTAATTCACACAGTTGGAAGCCTTCAAACTAATTATCAATGGAATTTTCTAAACAGAAAGCCTGTTTAAGGCCATATTCTTAAACTGTTTTCCACCATCATAAGGTGATTTTACCAAATCAAACAGAAGTCTTAAACATCTTAATAATAGCATAATAATTAATTGCGTAATCTGAAACTTAAATGTCAAAGAAGGTTTTCCTTCTTTACTCTTTTAGTGGGCCTTATTAATGTATACTGTTGTATTACATCCTAATAGCAGAGTAAATTGAAATAAAGCACAGATCATGGAAGAATGATAGAAAATATAGGAAACGTTGGCAAAGCAATCCTAATGCTTTGTAAAAATATGGAAAAAACATCGGAAAATTACAGATGGAAGAGATATACCATAGTAAACCTTTATGAGATAAATGTTCGTTGAGAGTCTTTAGCCTCTCACTGCAGCATATTATGCTATTTACTGCTCATAAAGAGTTTGCCCTATGGAGATATACAGTACATGAAAATATTGATATGGCGCAATATTTAGGGTGTATTGTTAAGCTTTTAAAATAAAATGAAAGAATAAAGGTGATGTGAAATCAGTATTCATTGCAGTTCTTCTGCAGAACCATGTACTATCAAAGCTGCAATCTGCAAGAAAATGTATTATATTTCCTTGTGCAAATGTCAAGCTACCTAAGGAGATTAGCTGTCAAAAAGATAAACGGTCATGCGACAGAGGACATTTTTACAAGGTTATCATAAAAGTCACAGATCTGCTAGGTATAGTGAGGATCCTCATCTAGATGTTTTTGCACTTTTGCCAAGTTTGAGTTGACCATCTACATTAAATTATGACATGAAGTAAAATTTGCAAGGCTTTATTGCTTATGGTGGTGGAAGCCAAATAATGTTTTTCTTCTTGTTTCTTTCAAGTGGCAGGACAGTCAAAAATTGCACTAAAAAATGAAATCTGATATTCACAGGGTGTCTGAAATTAATCACACTACCAAAATAATTAATAGCCATATGTTTGCTTGTTAATAAATTGTATGGCAAATATTGAACTAGAGAAATGTTGTATTTCACAAAACTAACAAACTTAAAACCTAAATGCCATATGATTGTGTTGTTGCAGTTGAAGCATTCAACCATCGAACAGCACTACTTTTATATTTTTTGGCACAGTAAAACAGAATCAATATTTAGCATGGGTTTTTATGTGTAAAAAATCTATCATGCCTCAGGTGCCAACTAAACCTAGCCCTTCATGACTCATGCTGTACATGTAATAATTTGATTTTGATACAATATGTTTTAAGTTATTGGATTTTTTTGTGTGGGCGCTCAAACATTTTCAGTTTATAGAGTATCTGCATGTTTTGATTAGGAAATACTTCATTTAAGTTGTCAAGATGTCACGTTCTCCTCTCATAGCCCCTATGAATTCTTGAAACTTGGTTCACTATTATGCCATTACAGTATATGCTTTATTACACAGTTTTCAGAACAAAAGGCTTCAAACTGAAATTTTGGCACTTGATCCAATATTTTTTATCTGCTGTAAATTAATTAATGGACTGGGTGTTTTTGTTGGTTCTAATTGTGGGGTTTAAAGGCACTGTAGGAGCAAATGTTAGCCATCACATGGTGCCTGTTTACTCATGTACCAAAGTACCAACATTAGGTTCACATTTCCCCAAAGATTAAATTATGTGGATTAAACAGAAAACTTCAAAGAATAAGGAGGTAGAAAATTAAAAATTCCTGCTTTAATTTTGAAATTTAATTTGTCTCTGATTTCTTTACATAATTCATCTGAGAATTCCCTGTGAAACCTTTCTTTTACATTGATATGTTTATGCAAGAATGCAGTGATATAGGTTTATCGATCAGTCTTTTCTTTGATGAGTCATCAGTCTGTGGAAAAATACAGCTCGTAATGATAACCAATAACTAGAAGAATAATTGGGCTGTGACAGATAATTACCACACCTACCAGGTGAGTTTTTACAGACCTGCTGCACCTACAGTATGTTTTTCCACTGTCACTTATAATCACCATTTTCATAATCCTTACACCATAACCACACTTTTTTCACAGTATTCTCACAATATTTTAAGAGTAACTCTCGTTAACTCACACTGTGTAGCATTGCTTTTGACTTTTATTTGGCACAACATTCTCCCAGTCTGCGTACACTCACCCCCTGCCAAGGTTCTCTTCTGGCCCTGCTGCAGAAACATGGCAGACATTTCCTCAGCCTCAGCAGCCGCTCCCACTCCTCTTCCATCAGTGCTGGGAGCCCTTCAGCCTGCATCTCCTACTCTCTGGTTTCTTCACCTCACATTTCACAATACGCTCTCTCATACTCATACATATACAGTACCACACTCGCTTACACATGCACATTTAACACATAATTCCATACTCATAATACTTACCTCTTCAGTCATTCTGGGGCAGGACCACGGTGGAGAGAGGATTCATTGTAGCCCGAAAATCGCTAAGGCACTCACTCCGGCTCACACTTTTGGCACCACCATGCAACACACATCTTAGCAATAAGCACATCCCCTGTTGGAACCACTTTTCCATCAGAACCTCTCTGGGATCCTAACTTTCTACCTGCCGGTCTTCCGTCTCACCATTCTTCAATTCCAACCACACTGGCAACACTTCTCTGGCGTCAGCAGCCAACAGCATTCGACTCTCCGGGCTACACTGCTTCTCTGGTGACTGAAAACATCACTACACATACAGTATGTTCCGTGAATCTGCTGGCCAGCCCTAGTGCTTCTCTGTGGACAACACCCATCAGCCTCTACTGCTACTGGACCTAAGGGTAGTCAGAGCCCCAGTCAAAGGCTTGGACTCCATTCCATCCATCTTTCTATACCTCCATGGTACTTATACGGTAGCTCATAGCATGCATACAGCTCCACCTTACCACCTCCCTTGCCCTTGCAATACAGTTGGCAGACTCTGCTGCCCCCTCGGGCTACTTTCCTTACATCTCCACAGCATATAGTGTACCCCCCACAGTACTAGGCTGCCTAGTCATGCCAATTCTCCAATCCCCAGGTTCAGGAGAGCTTTATTCTGACACAAATCTGCTTTCACAAAGGGTTTTCTTTTCTTCCAAAGAGAGTTTAGATGTTTGAATAGGACAGCTCACACCAGGTGTTCATCCAGACACCTGAAGTATTTCCTGCAGCTGTGACTTCCCCGATGAGTACCTACTGGTGGGCTGTCACATGGGCAAAATATCCTAAAATCTTCTGAGGACCAAGTGCTTTTGACCTTTTCTCTAATTGCTTTTGCAGTTTTTCCTTTGTACTGATCTATTACCCATCACTTTCCGTCATATCTATGGAATGTGAATTAAGGCTGAACTAAATATTGTAAAGACTGTAAATAGTGTAAACTCTGTAAATGTTCACAAAAGTCCAAAACTATCAATATAAAAATAGTTTAAAAAGAGCTTCAAAAGTAAGTCATAGCAAAACATAATAGTGGATAAGATGTGGATGATACCGTTAATGAAGAAATAAATTAAACAAGAACAATTCAAACTGTATTTATTGCAGGAAGTGATACATAAAGAACACAGATAATTATTTAAAACGTGAACAACACATTTATACCTTCTTTTGTTAATACAGTGCCAAAAGTTACGTTCATAGTATTTTATTATGAAAACAAAGATTATTAAAATACTTTTAATTTACTGTACAGTATATGTTCAGTCCTGTGCATACCAGTAACTTATTCTTTGTTGAAAGTAGAATTCTTACTTAGACACTGAATTAGTAAAACTGAAATAAATACAATTTCCTTTTTGCTAAAAATAAAAAGAACTGATCTTACATGTTGCAGTTTCTTATTAAAGTTTAACATTAGGGCTGCATGGTGGTGCAGCATTGTTGCCTCACAGTACTGGGGCCTTGGGTTCAATTCTGGACCTGCAGTGTTATCTGTGTGTTTGTTTATTCTCGCCATGTTTCCTCTGGGTGCTCCCAGGCATAATGTAGAAAAACTGTCCTTAGTGTGATTGTGTACATGTCGGTGTCTGTGTGTGCCCTCAAATGGACTGACATCCTGTCCAGGGTGTATCCTGCCTTCCACCAGTTGCTTGCCAGAACAGGCTCCGGCTCCTCTGTGACACTGTATTAGAGAAAGTGATTAGAAAATGGATGGATGAGACTCAATATACAGTACTGTGGAGCTCTGTGGTACATCATACTCTAGCACCCATGCTAGATTTTATTTTTCCTATAAATGATGGCAACCAGATTGATAAGAAGCGAATATATCTGAGGCTTATATTCTGTAGGTCAACCTAATTCAAGAGGTTTTGAATGAAAATAATCTATATGAAAACTAAATCTATCAAAAAATGAGGAAAATGGAGTGACTGTCTCAGTATATCAAGAACAAAGGTCAGACTAAAAACTATCAGTTTCCTTAGAGATGCTCAAAGTTTACTGCCAACACTTTACTACAAATTACATTTATTAGAAATGAAAGAGACTGATTTTTAGTTTTTAGTCCTTCTGGGAAAATGATGATGGTATGTTAAGAAATGTCTTATTTCAGCTATTTTTAAATCTAAGGGACCTATGCTTTATGTTTAGGAGAATTTGCT